TGAACACACTCCCTTCTGGCCCTATCTTACATACACATACATGAACATACTTCCTTCTGACTCCAAAATCTTCACTTTCCCAGAACCGGAGATTCCGGCCCCCATGTCAGAGCTGACAGAGACCGTGGTCTGTGCCCTGGGGTTGTCTGTGGGCCTCGTGGGCATCGTGGTGGGCACCATCTTCATCTTCCAAGGCCTGCGGTCGGGTGGCCCCTCCAGACACCCAGGACCATTATGAGCCACACCTGCAGAGGAAGGTAAGGGAAAGAGGGAAGCCACTGCACGGGGGAGCGGGGAAGGGGGCCAAGGGAAGCATGGTGCGAACATTGCTGGAGAACTGTGCGGTGACGTCATCACAGCTCAGGAGCCCCTGGAACCCTCTCTCTCCTGTCTGCTGCAGGTGTGTGGCCCTCTCCAGGGGAGACGTGGTGCACTGGACGACCTGGCACAGTGTGTTTTCTGGCCCAGTTCATCGTCCTCGTCTTCCATCTCGCTTTTCTCTTGGACCTGAGGCTGTGCCCTCTCACAGCTCACATACCCTTAGAATAGCCTCCTGACCTGACTTTTGGTTTTCGGCATCTTTCGAATCCTATCTCCTGTAGAATCCTTCTGAGACCCTGACTCAGTAGCCCCATGAAACCAATAAATCACCTGTTATAAGTTGTCAACTGGTTTTCCCTTTGTTTGGTTTGGTTTTTCCTGGCTTTCATTTTGGAGTTTGCTGGAGGCAAGCCCATATACTCCCATGTCCAGTGACACAGGAACAACCAAATACAGCCCGAATGCCTTCTATCTTAGCCAAGGTTGGGCTTTCTCTCTCTTCTCGTTCCCAGCCCTGACCACTCTCCAGTCAGGTACAAGGAGGTCGGGTGAAATCTGCCTTGGTGCACACTTGCTGTAAGGAAAAACCAAGGCACAAGGGGCACAGCAGTAACCCCAGCACTCAGAGGCAGAGCAAGAGAGTCCTCACAAGTTGTGGCCAACCTGGTCTGCGCAAGTCAAGCTGGAGCTGTAGGGAAGGCCCTGTCTAAAGCAAAAATAAATAAATAAATAAATAAAAAGAAAAAAGAAACTACTTTAATTTTAATATAACCTATTAATGAAAAGAGCTTTGACTTTTAGAAGTAATAAAAGTTTAAGTGATATCAAAAGTCAAAACTGTTTTCAAAAAAATTTTGGACTCATCCAGGCCACTTCTAGAGACATTTAGGTGAGGTGGCTAGAGCCAACCTAGATGCAGACAGCAGCCTCTTGTGGGCCAAAGGAGAAGCCTTGACCTGTCTCTGCATCCTGACTGTGGAAACAATGTGACCAAACACCTCATGTTTCCCCTGCCTTTCCCGCCATGATGAACTGTGTCCCCACAAACTGTGATCCAAGGTAAACCCTTTCCCCTCCCCACTTCCCTCCCTCCTTCATTCCTTCTTTCCCTTCCTCACTAAGATGTTACAGTCAGATATTTGTCACCTAGAGAACTCCTACAATGACAGTTCATTTTCCAAGCTGACATGACAAGGTCCTATAGGTCACAGCTGGAAAAGTGGCCCATCATTAACCAAAACTTGTGATGCATGACAAATATCTTCTAAAGTATGTGTGGTATAAAATCTGTGAAGGTGATGAGATGCGTTTCCTCTGTTCTCACCATAAGAAGGTAAGAATTCTCACAGCAGGAAAGGAGATAAGTTACAAGAGCATCTGAACGGGGCATTGGTGTAAATTCCTGGAGTAAATACATGGGTAGAAGAAGGGAACAGAAACCACAGGCTTTCAGGGGCCAGACAGAGGTGTGGGCGCCTCACATCCTAAGTGAAGATGGGTTCATGCTGCACAGATTCCCTGAACCTGCTGGAGGCATTGGGGTGAATGTGGATAAAGGGTGTCTCTGGCAGGTTAGCCCAAGTGGGGCTCCGTGAATCCTCTGTAGATATCCCTGTGCCCTGGGAGAACACAACGCTTCAGCCCACCCCAATCTGTGCTCCTCATTCCTCCTAGTGATGGAGGCTTGGGGCTGTGAGATCAAAGTCCCAGGGAGCCAATGGTTTAGAATCTGTGGCAGCAGCTGTAGGTGCAGCAGCTGTTCTCACTGTCCCCACCATCCCCCTCCACCTCCACCATCCCCCACCACTCCCACCATCCCCCACCGCCCTCACCATCCCCTCCACCATCCCCCCACCCCCACCCCCGCCATCCCCCACTGCCCCCACCATCCCAAATATCCCCACTGTCCCCAAGGTCTCCACAGTACCAACTGCCCCCACTGTCCTCCACAGGAAACACTTCCAGAGGGCCAACAGATGGGTATACAAGGCTCTAATGAGTTTGTCCAAGACTCGCTCTTGAGAGTTAGGTCACCTAGTTTGAGACTTTGTGCTTCTGAAATTGTTTTACATCTTACATCCATCTTTCCACTCTGCAGCCACTGGCTGCATGATTAGCACTAAGAAGATACTGAGGGTTTTTATAAAACATGAGCTCATTTCTGTCCATGCCAGGTGCACCAGTGTGCTTAGAATGCAACGGGGGGAAACACAAACATCAGCACGGTAGATATACAGCACAGGTTAGTGCAGAGAATCGTACCAAAGACAGGCCTCAGCACATCACAGCCAGTACATTAAACTTCACATCATTGAGTAAATGATCTATTATTTCTTAGCCTTATCCCAGCTACAGTTTTGCAGTTACTATAGTTCCTTTGCGGTTATTGATAAAACCATGTTACACCCATTATTGCATTGGAATAATTTGTTATAAAATGAAAGCAGAACATATGCCTGCTGGGGATGAAGGGGATGAATTAGGAAGAGGTGTGAAGAGGGTAGTGAGGAACAAACAAAAGCAAAGTCTACCTGATGTGTTCCAGTATGTGCTTCTCTGTCGGGGACCATGCAAAAGGAACAGCAAAGCCGCTTTGAAACTCATGGAGTGTGGTCCACTGGTTACCACAACCAGGATGGGTGTTCTCAGAGAGGCAGAACCTGGGGACTGCGTCTCCTGAGGACTCCATGCTGTCATGGAGCATCGCTCTGCTTGCTGCCTCCGTGGTCTCCAACCCCTCATAACCTGTGAGCTGTATGGAAACTCTAAGGGCTTCCAGCCCCTCATGGGCAGTGTCATTGGCAGTTACAGTAATAGTGCTGAAGTTTCTCAGGCATTGCTGCTGGAGCAGATTAGTGATCCAACCATCACCCTTGGGAAGAACTTAGAGGTGTAAGTTAGGGTGTTTTTGTTAGTAGCTTTGATGTAGAAAATCTTGAGGAACAATTTAAAGCTCAGAAAGGCATTTTTAGTAGTTGAGCAAGGGGCTTATTGAGGTCGAAGAATAACAGCACAGCTCTTGTTATCTGACACGCCTTTCTTGCTAAAGATGGGTTGGTGATCAAGCACAACGATTAATTTCTTGTCCCCTTTTTGCCCTGATGTATATGTGCATATGTGTATCAGCTTCCTGATGTGATTTAATAAAAAATAATTGTTGGTGAGTAAGTGTGCACTCTGAAGATTTAAAGTAAAAATGGACTATATATATGTATATGTACATATATAAATTTAGATTTGTGATTCTTTTAAGATTTTTGTAAGATTACTTTTTGAGATAAATAATAAAATGATTGATCCTTTCTTTGTAACCATGAAATGCAACCCACTAGTAAGAGAACTGGCTGAGAAAAATTCCTTGCTTGTTTACTCTTTGTTAATCTGTAACAAGTTGCTTAGACAAGAATGTATGTAGATCCTTGGGAATAATTTGCTTTTTGCTTGTAATACATAAAATGTTTAATCATGTGAGGGTATTGGTTCATTCACTTAGAGAAAAATAGAATGTAACTACATGGTAATTTTTGTATTGCTTGAAAATTTTTGCTAGAGATATAAACTCTGAGAGAAGAAATGAAGTTGTTAGAGCCTTAGTTCATCCACTAAGAGAGTGTGTGTGAGAAAGAGAAAGAGTGTGTGTGTGTGTGTGTGTGTGAAAGAGAGAGAAAGAGAGAGAGAGAGAGAGAGAGAGAGTGCTTTACATTTGTCACTGACCCCACATCCCCTCCTTGGATTGCTGAACTCACTGTTGAGCTGGCCTCTGGCATGTTTTATTTGGAATACCCACAGAGGTCAGGAAATTAGTATGTGACCATGGGGCTCACTGCCAAAGGGGGGAAGTAAAATGTAGTGGGAAGGAGAAATAAAGGAATGGAAAGGGGGAAAGGGTCAAGTTGAATTGAACATGGGAGGGCAGAGGAGGAAATGTGGGGAAGGATAAATAACACTAAAGACGTCCCATAGAAACTTACTATGGAAAACTATTACTATAGAAGCTTTTTAAACACACACACACACACATGCACACACACACACACATGCACACACAAATACCCATGCACACATCCCCATACCTGCACACACATGTGCACACACACATGCACACACACATGCACAAACATGCACACATGTACCCAACACACGCAAGCACATGCTGCAGGACACTTGGTGACATTGTGAACCCTGAGATTATGAACTTGGAAAAACGTTTTTCTTGTGGTGTGGCACAGCCACAGCACACACCTTTAATTTAGTTCTTGGGAACTGAATAAGGTCTACCTTAGGTCAAGAGGCAGAACGCGTAACAGGGAGTGAGCGCTAATACACAGAGAGGAGGGACACTGAGCCGAAGAATACTTAAGACAGCAGGGAGATGGAGAAGCAGCTTCTTCCTTCTGGGACATCAGTAGAGTACAAAGCTGGGGGCTTTCTTTGCTTCTCTGAGCTAGTAGATTTTCACCCCAGCATCTGGCTCCTGGGCATTCATTGGTAAAAATCGAATGGCTGGTAATTTTTATTTTAAAACAACATTTGGCACCCAACCTGGGGCATGACCCCATTGACAGATCACTTCAGCTGTGAACAAACCGAAGCTATCAGATTTGGTAAGTCGTCTGGGAAACCCTCAAAGAGAGAGCTAAAGTACCATAGTAGAAGGCTCTAGGACCCTGTGTGGTGTTACTCTAGATGGCTTGAAAAAAGAAGCAGAAAATGAAAAGCTAAATAACTTAATTGTAACTGGCTCAATACCAAATATGATTATTATCATTTTGGTATTTTATACTTTATTCTTAATATCCATAATGGCTCTTTTTACTCAAAGAAGGATTGATAAAATATAAGCCTTAGAAGGAAAATTAGAGAGACTCATAAATGAGAATAACAAAATTATTCAGACACAGATAGAGGAATTTAGACAAGTTTTAGAAAGAACTAAGAAATATATTCAGACACAGGAATTTAGACACACAGACTATTAACTAATTCTAGAAATAAGCTTTGTCTAGTTTCCTGTGTGCATTTTCAGGTTTGAGTCTGAAGCAAGTAACTAGAAACAAAGTTTGTGTACCTAAGATGTGCTGAGTAGACTGTGATCCTAGAATCTTTCTGAGATCTGCTGGATACGGCATTTAAAATGTTTAGACTTTCTGCCATTTCTAACAGTAACCTTTTAAGTTTCCAAGAAGATGACAAGTCCACCTGGATTGTGGTCGTGAGACCACTGGGCAAAACTGTCCCCTGCCTTTTCTGCCACCAGGTTCTGCACAAACAGTGGAACCTTTGACTGCTTTGTTTTGTCTAGTCAGGACTCCACTAAGCTGACAAACACCACGCAGAGACCAGCTTTGGACTACAGACTGCTCAGGACATTGAAAATGTCCTAAGCAGAGTTCTCAGGAGACTGACATGAACATTTTACTGAACTTTGAACTCAAAAATACTTAACCCTAAGATTGCCAAATACAACCAAGCTGGACATTGTGCAAAGTTTGGCAGAAATAGCTTTGGTAATGTAAATAGTTTTACTGTGTTAGAGTTAAAAAATCTTTCCTTTTTATTTAGACAGAAAAGGGGGAAGCTTGATACCTTTCACCTGTTCAAACAAAAAACAAAGAGCCATCTTTAACTGATGTGTGCACACTGCACGTTTCACACAAATGTTTTTGCAGTAATGTGTATTACTTGTGAGCTTTTATGTGTTTACAGAACAAAAGGACCAGACAGCAGTGGGATGGAGGTAGCCTTGCCATCCAGGATGCTGAGATGCCGAGACATGTTTATTCCAGCATCCTGCTTGATCCGGCCTTAGACTGCCTCATTGCTGTTTCATCAGAACTTGCCTCCAGGACAGCCTCAAAGCAGCTAGCCCAATGGGTCCCGCCTCACAGACTGTTCCTGCATTTTCACGGCTCACGCAGACTGGGCAGCAAATGTTGACAGCCAGCCTCCTTAAGACTTGATCATTGTCCCAATTTCTTGGGCTCCCCAAAGGAGACTATATCCCAAATCAGCAGGAAACAATTTCAAGAGAGCAACTCCTTATTCCCAAGAGGCAGGGTGGGTGGGCTTTTGGTCGTTCGGTGGGTTATGGATGTTTGTTTTCATGTAGGGGGGATTTGGTTGCAAGTTAGTGTATGGTCTTGATCAGAGAGGAAACAAGGTATTGGAAGCTAGCCTCAGCGATTTCTCTCTTTCGTTTCTCTACCCTTCTTCCTTTCTGATGTAGGGAGAACAGGGTTGAAAAGAAAAAAGGAGGGTGTAGAAATAATATTAGAATAATCAGACTAGGAATTAGTAAGCCCAGGAAATCTAAACATGAAAATGTGTATCAGAGCACACAGAAGGCAGCGAAGCAGCTGTTTGATACTATGACTGACATATGTCATTCACTTGTCCAAATTCTCAGAATGTACCAACATCAGAAGTGATTGATGGGGCTGGAGAGATGGTTCAGTGGTTAAGAGCACTGGTTGCTCTGGTGGATGACCCAGGTTCAGGTCCCCAAACCAGCATGGCCTTTCACAGCTGACTGTCACTCCAGTGCCAGCGCGTGCACACCCTCTTCTGACCTCTGCGGGATCCTGAATCCATGTGGTGCACATACACACTCAGGCACACACATATACACATAAAATATAAATAAATAAAGAAATATCATAGCACTAATAAAAGAATGTAAAATATTGGAAGCTGGGGAGACGGCTCAGTGGTTTAGAGCACTGGCGGCTCTTGCAGAGGCCTCAGTCTGGTTGTCAGCCCTCATGGGGCAAATCACAGCCTTTCCCAATCCCAGAACAACGCCCTCCTCTGGCCTCCTCCGGCACTGCACACATGAGGTGCACAGACAGATGCAAAACGCTCAGATACCTGTACAATATTAATAAAAAAGATGGTAAGAAAAGCCGTAAGCTCTAAAAATTTTTTTTCTGTTAACAAATGTGCACATTTTCTAAATCAGAGGCATGCACAAAGGATAAAAATACTTTTGGACCTGAGAGGATATAAAATTTACTTAGCAAATATAATTTTATTGGTAATTGATTTGGATTATAACACACTAAAGAACAACTGTCAATCAGGAAACAGGAAGTCTAAGATATGGCAAAAAAGGACTCACTGTCATGGTTTCAGGACAGCTGAGTGGGCAGATGCTGTCTGTAAAGTGATAATCACTTTTTCCAACTTGTAGGAATAATCAATGAACAAAGTGCATAGACAATGATCATTGCAGCAGCAAGTCAGTGCTTCCGGCTTCACCAGCTTTTCCCTAAAGGCCAGAAAGCTCAATTTGACTCGTGGAAGTGCAAAGGAGAAGAGAGAAATAAAGCTGGAAACATCAATATCTTCCTCTAGAAAGAGGAATGAGAGAGATCGGCTGTATGCAAGGGAAGAGACAAAGATCCATACCCTGAACTGCCTACAGTAACCGGCGGGTCTCACAAGGTCAGCCGTGAAATCGGGCAGGGCTTTAGAAGGCGGCTGACTTCAGCCACAAGTTCATACTCTAACCCACAGGCAGCTGAGGCTCCCCAAACTGGGGTAAGGTTCAGGGTCTTTACACCCCAAAACAATGGAGCAAAACCCAGTGAGGCAGCCCTCATCACCTAAGGCAACCCCAAGAGAGTAAAAGCTTTGCTTCCATAGAGGAGTATGCGCAGAACAGAACAGCACCCACTGCAGAAACACTGTTAGTCACATGGAAGAAAACACAAACAAATGCTTTTGAAAATTCATCACCCAAATTTTTAAATAAAGCTGCCATATAATCCTGCAATCCTGCTTGTGGGTACATATGCAAACATATCCTTTGATATGTTGAAGAGAGGTCCACACGCCAGTGTTTACTGTAGCGATATTCACAATAACTAGAAACAGGCTAAATGTCCATGAATTATTAACAAAATATGGTGAATGTGTGTGTGTGTGTGTGTGTGTGTGTGTGTGTATGTGTGTATGTGTGTGTGCACGCACTATCTTGTTCTGGGAAAACTCAGACAACGACCTTGGGGAGAACTCCACGTGCAGTCTGTATACCCCATAGTGTCCCTGACTGGTGAGCGGCACTGCAGCCTGGATCCCAGGAGATAAAAGGGGAAACTTCCCCATTCTGATGTGTCCCCAGGGTGGAAATCCTGCTGATGTCTCTCTAGACAGGGTGTGGATGAGGTCGTGTTCCTCGGAGGCGTGGTCTTCTCTGATCCCAGGAACAGGCTTCCCTGTGCTTATGAAAGGAAACCCTGAAGATGTGTTTAAGCTCTCTGAGCTGAAACCACATCAGAGAGGCCAGTGTGTGTGTGTGTGTGTGTGTGTGTGTGTGTCTGTCTGTCTGTCTGTCTGTGTCTGTGTGTGTATGTGTGTGTGTGTGGTGACTTCCCTAGTAGCAGGTAAATGTTCACAGGTGATGGGGCTCCAGCCCTAAGCCTTTCAGCTCAGCAATGACACCATGAGCCTGTGTAGGATGGTACCCATGGAAGCTGGTGCCTCCAGTGAGGGAGCAAGAAGCACAGACGCTGCCCCACTTCTGTCACTTTAACTAATGTAAAAACATTAGTTATGTCTCTCATCGCTCTGCCAAAACACCTGACGGGGACCTGCAGGAGTGGAGGTGTGTGCTTTGGCTTACAAAGGCACAGCTTGTTATGACAGGGAGGGCTGGTAGCTGGGAGGTCACAGTAGTCCACTGTCAGGAAGCAGGGAGACCAGTGTCCAAACTCCTCTTTTACCATTTTTCCCAATCTGGAGCCTCAGCCCATGGTGGGATTTCCCACCTCAATCGAGTCTAGAGAGCCTTCGAAGATATGCCCAGAGATGTACTGCCCATCAACAGAAGCTGTCACAAGCCTACCAAAAGCAAACCACAATCGCCCCTTTGCATCTCCTGACACACACACACACACACACACACACACACACACACACACACACACACACGCCCACTGTGAAGAAATCTGGAGATCCAGCTGTTCCATGAGGCTGATGGAGCTATCTCCATGCTGCGGCTCTGAAAATTCATCTCCATAATAAGCGGGATGGACCCAGTGCCCGCTGATTACATCCTGTGTACAAAGTGTTTTCCAAGGTTGTATACGTCACCCAGGACTGATCAGGAAATATTTCCCTCTAATTGTCAAAACATCAGTGCACGTACAACAGAGTCAGAACTACACATTCCGAGATAAGATTTGAGGTAATAAGGAAGAGACTGAAAACAGATGTGAAAGGAGCAGAGGAAAAAACAAATGACAAAGGCGTAGACAGAGAAAAAGGAAAAGAAAATCCTCGGTGCAGTGGAACAGACACAGGGAAGGAGACAAAGATGGAGAGAGCACAGCTGGGGATGAGTGCACAGACAGGGAGACGCAGGGGAGGGTAGAAGAGGCAACTGAGAAGAGGTCAGTGTCTCATCAGCTACAGGTACCCAGTCACTCTGGAAACACCCCAGCTTCCTTACGGCACCAACCAAACAAGATTAAGTTGGGTTTTTATCATTTGCAACCACAAAGAGTGCTTCATTGTTGACTGTAATCTCTCAGAAATGAAGCTGAGCCTCAGTCAGTGTGACCTCATGGGACACATTTGACACACTGGTGAGAGGTCACAGCCTCTGCCACCAACCTACCATGCTCTGCCCTCACCAACCTGAGAGAGACTTATGTGAGAGCAGCGCACTGCAGAGCAGGAGTCTGAGCCATGACGATGTGACAGCTGGGCCTCCTCTGCCACCCATGCATGGATGCCAGGATGTGTCTGATCTCCTTCATAGTGGAAACTGCTACTTTTGGCCACAGTTTGGCTGGGTCACTTTGTCCCACACAACTCCCACCCACCCTGCTCAGTTACAGAGGACACAGATGGTTCAGAATGTGTTTAATCATGAAAAAGGGGCGACTGGTTTCAGCACATCTCTTCAGCAGCCTGTGTGGGACAATGGAGACAGAAGCCTGGGGTCTGAGCCATGGGCAGAGTCACAGTACATAGACAGAGTCTCTAGAATCGGCTCAGGGCAGAGCCAAAGACAGAGCCTTGGGGACTCGGGATCACAAGAGCTGAGCTGGGTACACTGGCAGTCTGCTGGACTCCAAATCAGAGCGTGGCAGGCAGGCTGGCACAGACAGGTACTTGGGGACATTCAGGCCTTACAGTGTGACAGTCAACTCACTGTCAGAGTCATTGTAGGAGCCCTGTGGAGGGGAGAGAGAGAGAGCGGTCACAGGAGGGACAGAGAGAAAGCAGTCACAGGGGGCCCTGAAGCTGCCCGGCTCTTCTAATCCCATAGTTAGACATAGGAAGCTGATGTCCCGGCCATGCCACCCGCTTCCCCACAGCCTGTGCAAAGGTGAAAGCAGCTACAGGGAGACAGAGCTTCACAGGACACAAACGTGAGGGAGGGGAAGAGAAGCCACCACCTCCCAGGGAGCATGAAGGAGCCCATCTTTCTGGTAAGTTGGAGGGATCTGTCTTCAGCCTCTGCCTGCCACTATCAACATCCAGGATCAAGTCTCCAGTGCAGGGCACAGAGCAGCCAATAGCTAGGTGTCTGAGCTCACAGCTCAGGCTCCACTCAAGACACCACTCAAGTGATGGTGGCAAAGTCCCACCAGGAACAATCCCTGGGGCTGCCCACAAGCTGTGACACCTGCTGGGACACTCTCAACCCCACAGCAGAGACAGACTATGAACCAGGACTGTGCCAGGTAAACCAGCACAGTCCTTTCCCTCACACTCTTCCCTCTCACTCTTCCCTCACACTCTTCTCTCTCACTCTTCCCTCTCACCTTTCCTTCACACCCACACCCTTGCACCACTCCCCAGGTAAGGGCTGAAACATTACCTGCTGGAGGAGGCCCTCGAGCCCCTACAAAGGAAGTCACATAGAGAAAGAAAGATGTTATAAAAACAGAGACTCTCTCGCACAGCCAAAGGGGCGAGGGGTCATGCAGCTTAGCTGTAGCTGTTCTCTCATCATCTGTACCCACTAAGACCCTGAGGACACCCACACACACAGACACACACACACAGACACACACACACACAGAGACACACACACACACACACACACACACACTGAATAAAACTGCCACCAGAAGAGAAAAAGCAAGGCCTGTGCTCGCTCATTGGTGGAAGCTTCTGAAAAGGAGACTGTAGAGTGGTGGACAGTGAAGGATGTCATGGAATGAGCACCCCCGTGGCTCTGCAGCACTCACACAAGCAGTAAAATCAGATTCCATCATCTCCCCTGGGATCTCCATGTCCTCCCACCCCCAGCCCATCTCCTTCCTTCAGCCAGCCCCCACCCCCAGCCCCCCAGAGCTCCTCACCTTTCTGACTCCTGTGACGGAAGAAAAGGCCCAAGCCGAGGAAGATCAGCCCGAGCACGAAGCCCCCGATGCCACTCAGCATCTTGCCCTGGGCAGACTCAGACTGCGCCCCTGGGGAGCAGAGCCAAACGTCAGCTTTTGTCTCCACACAACACAACAGCCCTGGCGAGAGCCTAAAGTCCAGCCTGAGCCATATGAGGTGACAGAGCCGGGAAGAGAGTTCTCTGCTCTGGCCTCGCCCCCAGGCGAGGAAGGACCAGGAGATCTGAACACCGGTTGGGGAGGGGAAGGGGCTAAGTGGATGTTTGCTCCTCAGACTTACTACAGTCTTGAGCTAAAACACCCGGTTGTCAGCTCCTCTCAACATTAGGGACCAGCTCCAGGACCCCAGTGTATGCAGTGATCTCCCAGAGCCACTGTCAGGGAGGACCATCAGGTCAGGGCTCTCCTGATGCCCTTTCTATGAGGCGAGGAATATGGTTTCCTGTAGTTCTCAGCTCAGCTATGGAATCAGACAATACAGGACAAGTGATGGGGTGGGGGGAATTGGGGGAAAGGGTAGATGGCATCAGGGGATGGGGTGGATGGCATTGGGGAATGGGGGGGTGGCATGGGGGGATAGAATGGGGGCATCGGGGGGATGGGGTAGGTGGCACTGGGAGAGTGGGGGTGGAACTGGGGGGATGGGGTGGCTGGCATGGGGGAGATGGTCTGGTTGGCACGGGAGGCATGAGGTAAAAACAGCTAAAATCCCGTGTCATGTGAGCTCACAATGAGAGAGAAAAGTTCTTACTCCACTCCACGGTGACGGGGCTCTGCAGGCTGCGGTGCTCCACTTGGCAGGTGTAGACGTCTCCCCGCTGAGGGGTCATCTCCAGCATGACCAGGACCTGGTAGGTCCAGTCCCCGTTCTTAATAAGCTGCGTGGACACAACCCCCGAGGTCTCCTCCTGGCCGTTCCGGAACCAGCGCACTTTGACCTGGGCTGGGTAGAAATCTGTCACGGAGCAGACCAGCAGGTTGTGGTGGTTGAGGGCCTCGGTCCTGGACAGGGAGATGGCCACCTTGGGCTGCTCTAGGGTGACAGATGGGAAGACTGTGGGTGAGATGGGGGCACGAGGACAGGGAGATGGTGAGAGGGGGACACGGGGACAGGGAGAAGGTAGGTGAGAGGGGGACACGGGGACAGGGAGATGGTGAGATGGGGCACGTGGACAGGGAGAAGGTAGGTGAGAGGGGGACACGGGGACAGGGAGATGGTGGTGAGATGGGGACACGGGGACAGGGAGAAGGTAGGTGAGATGGGGACACTGGGACAGGGAGATGGTGAGAGGGAGACACGGGGACAGGGAGAAGGTAGGTGAGATGGGCCACGTGGACAGGGAGATGGTGAGATGGGACACGGGGACAGGGAGAAGGTAGGTGAGATGGGGACACATGGACAGGGAGATGGTGAGATGGGGCACGTGGACAGGGAGATGGTGGTGAGATGGGGACACGGGGACAGGGAGATGGTGAGAGGGGGACATGGGGACAGGGGGATGGTGAGAGGGGGACACGGAGACAGGGAGATGGTGAGTGAGATGTGGGGGCACATTGGGAGGCTCCAAATGGGGAAGAGGCGGGGTAGTGATGCCTGAGTTCTAATATTGAGTGAATATCAACTCCACAAATGTACATTTAGCAGTCACTGGGGAAATGGCAGTCAGTGGCTCTTATACAATGTGAAATGTTGTGAGACAAAGGAAGCTGGGCAGTGGTGCAGGCCTTAATCCAGCACTGTCCTGCCAAGGCTACACAGAGAAGCCCTGCCTCAGTAAATAAATAAATAATTAGTAAATAAAGAAAGGATTTTCCTTAAAATAAGTAAATAAAGGCGACATCACTTCCTCATCTCCTCAGCCTGTCAATGCACAGTGGGACAGACGTCTTTGCCATCATGTCCACTACCTCAGAAGCCAGCTCACTGTTTCCCTTGTCCCTTGAGGGTGAGAACAGCGCGCATTCTAATGTGTTCCGTGAACTGGGGACATTTTGTCGTCACTGCTGACCCCTCCCCTTCCAGTTCCACAGTCAAGTGCGTCAGTTACTGCTGCATTCACTGCTGTGAGGACTCAACTCCCAACAAGACCCGAAGAACGGACCACTGCAGTTGAGTAACAAGGTTTCCGGGAAAGCACGAGGGGAGCGTGAGCAGTGCTCTGAGGCGGCTCACTCAGTTGCAATGAACCAATGAACCGTGTTAAATCTGAACACTTGCCTAACATGGCGCTGTGATTGGCCTCGTGTCTAAGGGGGAGTGTGCTAGGAGTGGAAATGAGCCAAGGAAGAGATTGGGCTTGAGTGAAAGCTTCAGGGGTGACCCCAACACGCCCCCCCCCCCACCACCAGCAGTGGCCTCATGCGGGGTTGGGGGAGGTGGGAAGGGAGTAAATGCAGCCAGGATCCTGCTGGTTCTAGGGCGGGGCAGGTAAAGTACAGCCGCCCTCTCCTCGGAGAAGGGAGGCTGGAGGCCCGTAGTTAGGAACCTTGCTGCCCTTGCGGAGGACCTGGGTTCGGTTCGCAGCCCTGTCTGTAACTCCAGGTCCAGGGGCTCCAATGACGAGGCCCTCTTTTAGTACTTCCCCTCAGATTTTTAGTTAGCACAGCCTACTCCAGAGCAGGAGGAAGAGCGAGGCCTTCGGTGAGTGCCAGGCAGCAAACAGCCCTGAGGGGAGGACCTCGGCCCTCGAGGGGACAAGCGGAAGTCTGGATGGCGTGAGTGACCGACCACTCAGTGGCCTGTCACCCGAGGCCCCTCGGTGCTCAGCTCCCCTGGCTGGCGCTGCCGGTGGCCGCGGGGCTCCCAGCAGAGTCCTGTCAGGGGAGCTGGGCCGCACCGGGCAGAGGGCGGCCGTGAGGAGGCTGCGGCCGCTCCGAGAGCCCTGGCTGCCCCGGGCCGGCTCGGACCCCCGCGCCCGCCGCGCTCCCCCGCCCCCGCGGAGCCGCCCCGCGCTCACCGAGCCGCCGCAGGGAGGTGCTGGCATCCGGCCCCTCGTAGTTGTGTCTGCACACCGTGTCCGTCTCGGCCCGCTTCTGCTCCATGAACTCCTTCTGGCTGTTGAAGTACTCGGCATACGGCCGCCCCCACTCGGCCACCGCGCGGAACTCGCCCACGTCGCTGTCGAAGCGCACGAACTCCTCCTGGTTGTAGATGTATCTGTCCACACCCCGCACGCGCTGCGTCCCGTTGGTGAAGTAGCACAGGCCCTTGAGCTGGATCACGGAGTCCCCTGCGGGCGGACGGGGCGGCGGAGACCCGGGGCTCGGACGGGCAGTCGGGCGCCTCCCCGGCCGCGCGCCTCCCCGGGCCGCCTCCCCGCACGGAAGAGCGCCGAGGGGCTCGCCCGGCAGGAGCGGTCCTCGGGGAGCTCGCGGGGTGCTCGGGCGAAAGGCGGAAAGGGAGAGGACGCTCGGCCGTCCCTGCCGCAGCCCGCGGGGCCCCTGAGCGCCGCCCGAGCGTGCCCAGCGCGCGGTGATGCTCCCGGCGCCTGAGTGCAAGAGCTGGAGCCGCGGCCGCGTGTAAGAGGCGCTGTCTCCTCTCCTCTCCATTCCCCTACCCTCCCCTCCCCGCCTGTCCTCTTCTTTCCTCCTCTCCTCCTCTCCCCTCCCCTCCCCTCCGCTCTCCTCCCCTCTTCGCAATGAGCCCTTCCCCGGCTCTCACAGTTCCCTTCCCCGCCTAAGGTTCTCTTGGAAATTCAGTTTCCCAGGCCGGTGTTTGAATTTTCGTTCCCACTTGACCGAGAAATCTGGACTCCTTGTCCGCTGGCTTCCCTCCGCCTAGAGCCTGTCTCCCTAAACCTCCACTCCACCTCGGGACCACAAGTCCAGCGCTGCTTGCTGCCTGCGTTTCTCCAGCTCAGAATCGAGCATTTCCCCCAGACGAGGACGTGGAGGGGTGGGTGGGCAGGGGGTGTCCACGGGGGAGGGGCCGGCATCGCGGACCCTGCTGTTTCCTCACACAACCCCGTGCTCACGTGCGCTGTTTCTCTAGTTCGCTCTCCTCTTTCTCGCTTTCCTCTCTCTGTTTCTCTGTCCCTGTCTCTCTGCGTCTCTGTGTCTCTCTTTGACTCTCTGTCTCTAACTCTGTCTCTTTCTCTCCCTCTTTCTCCCTTTCCTCTGTCTCTGTCTCCTCTTTCTCGCTCTCCTGTCTCTCTCACACACCTGTGTGTCTCTGTCTCTCTCTCTCCCTCTCTCACTCTCCTCTCTGTGTCTCACTCTGTCTCTATCTCTCACCTCTATCTCTCTGTCTCTGTCTCTCTGGTGGTAGATTTAAACTCCTCCCTCTTCTCTCTCTGTCTCTCCTCTCTGTCTTCCCCCCTCTCAGGGTAGATTTAAACTCCTCCCTCGTCTCTGTCTCTCCTCTCTCTAGCTCTCCTCTCTGTCGCTCTGGTGGTAGATTTAAACCCCTCCCTCTTCTCTCTCTGTCTCTCCTCTCTCTAGCTCTCTCTCTGTCTTCCCCCCCTCTCAAGGTAGATTTAAACTCCTCCCTCATCTCTGTCTCTCCTCTCTCTAGCTCTCCTCTCTGTCTCTCTCTCTCTCTCTCTCTCTCTCTGGTGGTAGATTTAAACTCCTCCCTCTTCTCTGTCTCTCCTCTCTCTGTCTCTCCTCTCTCTAGCTCTCCTCTC